GACCGGGTCAGCAGGTTCAGCTGCTCTTCAAGTTAACAGTAAAATGAGCAACTTACTGAACCAAGAATGTCACATTGATTTTTCTTTTTTTTTTCTTGCTGCCAGCCACAGCGGTTCCATCATATCATAAATATCTGCCTCTAGCAGTTTTCATACAAACCAGTGAACGATCCAGTCAACCAGAACATAAAACACATTCATGGAACCTGCAGTCCACAGCGGTTCTGTGATCCACAGCGTTGTGTCAGCGGGCCGGGTCGAAGGGGAAAGGCCAGAGGGTTCCAGCTAACAGGCGACCGTGTCTTCTATAAATGACGTTTATGTTGCTAATCGTTTTCTAATTACATCGTGGAGGCGAATGTAAACACTGGCTTATGTCAGAACCACGGCTTCGCTCAGGAACTGGAGCGCTGCCTTTATGAATTGCACAAGACTCAGCAGGAGGCGGTCGGGCTATGAAGCTGATCGCTGCTACACCAGAGACTGAAGTCAGACTCTGGTTTAGTTATAGGCAACAAAAGCCCTTTGGCCAAGGCGTGAGGAGGACGAGGTGGTAAAACTCAAACAGACCGTCACCGTTCACTCATCTGCCAGCGTCTGAATATAAAACAACATAAAGAAACCAAACAGAGCTCTAAATCATGTTAGTTCATTCATATCGACCAGCACACAGACTACCGGTAGAATTAATCTTAACACTGAGAAGTTAAAGTTTCAGCTGCAAAAGCCGTTTCTGACTACAGTCAGAACGACCTGAGAGGAGAAACCAGTCCCAGGTGTCCAGGTGTAGGACAGAGTTCAGAACTGACTTTGGCTGTGATTAGAATAGTTTAATTATCATGAAAACAAACCAGCACAACTCTAATGTGTATTAAAGAGATCCATCCTCATGTTTTTAAGTCATAAAGTGGTTGGAAAATTTCAAAGTGACACTTTAAGCTGACTCAACAGTAAATGATTAAAACTCACAGATTTACATGAAGTAGAGGAGATGAGACGGTTTAGTCCCGGTTTCATTCCCTTCAAAGGACATTTTACCAAAACCAGCTCAGTACAGAAGCGATGTGTAGAAAAACTCAGAGGGTTAAAAGAAGCGTGCTGAACTTTACTACTGAGGATTTAGCTCTAAAGCGGGAATCCAAGAATGAATAATGGAAGAGCAGAAGCATATCAGCCTGCTATGACATGCTAGGTTCAGTCAGAATTCAGTGTGAACACCATGAATCCATAGATTTCTTCAGCTCAGCGACTTGGGAGGACAGACCAGAGCAGACATGAAAGCAGAACACTGGCCACAGACCTACAGTGATGTGTAAAAACCAATATGGAGCATGATGACCTAAACGTCCTTTTTCACTTCACACTGCACTTCAGATTCATACTAATGCATCACAACCGTATGACCGGTCTGAGCAACACGCTGCTGGTCCTCCACATGCTGCTACATCAGCTCTGACCCACCACACACATGGATGAAACCTCTTCAGCTACTCTGGGATGTCTGCTGTCAACATGGAGCTACCACAGCTTGCTGCAGATCAGACCTGACAGTGACCAGACCTCCTCGGACCGCTGTCAGGAAGTCTGCTGACCAGGGGCACCCCACAAGCCTCGAGGTTAAATGATGCTTTGAGGTGTCTGGTTGTCACAGTTTGGGCCTCGTTATAAACCACTGAGGGCTTCACATCTGTCCATTTCCATCTGACACACGGACTGGATGAACTGATTGATCACCTACCAGCAAACAACACCTCAGACCTCGACGAGAGCTGCTGCGTAAAGACAGTCCACAGAACCAGCTTCATGTGTGACATCATGGTTTGGCTCATGGCTGGATGTGCTGAATATTTATCCTCTGGAGGAAGCTCACAAACACACAGTGAGTTCAGTCCACTGAGGTCTCCTTCACACTGTCCAGACTTCAACCTGAGAGGCTCAACAACAACATTAACTTTTGCCACGACAGTGACGGGCTGCCTGTCAGCTATTCTCCCTAAAACCAAAGCGTCACATGAAAACAGCTGCCCAGGATGCAGACGGTATGCACACACACTCTTCTGTTGCCTTATGTGACGAATGTGCGACTGTTGAGTTTCCACAACAAACCTTTGTCTGACTCAAACTCTCCTCTGGCAAGAGTTTTTATCATGGAAATGAAATAATACGTCTTCCAGCAGAAGGCCAGAAGCCAAGACTTAGCCCAAGTCCTAAATCTGCCTCAGTCCAGTAAACGCTGCTCACACTGTGGGTTTTAGGTTGAAAAATGTACTTTAACTTCACCAGGGCCACCTCAGGGGCAGATTTCCTAAATGGTGGTGCAGCTGTAAGAACTGATGGGCACGGTGTGGCAGCAGCTCGCCCAGGAATCACCAGGCAGCAATGTTTTCATCCACTGAAACAGACTCAGTGTGTACGCCATGTCGGTGTCATCTGTGGACAAAAACACTGAATGCATTCATGTTTGGTGGAGGCAAGAATATACATAAACTATACTAACTGTCATGGGAAACAAATACCAAATAATTAACGCACTAACAAACAAAAAAGAGGTTCTGTCGGGGTTCGGTTCACTCAGGAGACGAGCCGAGAGCCACGTAGAATACTGAAGCCGTACAGCAGCAAACACCCGGGCGAAACAAAGAGGCAGGGCTACTTGAAAGCATTATGAAAACCACAGAGGGTGAGACGGTCCTGCTGCTCGGTACCAGTACAGCAGCCAGCACACACAGCTGGGCCAACAAAAGGAGAAGCCATCTACAGACAATCCGCATCAGCTCCACAGCTTCCTTTGTGCATGCAGCGAGCGAGCAGACGGATTCTGCGGTGTAACCTGAGTTATATCAACAAATTACCAGCAGGTGAAGGAGGACGGGAGCTTTCTCGCAAACTCTTCTGCTCTGCCTTCTCAACAGCTGAGTAGTAAATGTAGCTGACTGCTGACCCCTACTGGCTCCTCAACATAATGAGGAGCAGTCAGGATCTCAGTGCAGTCGTTCTGATCATTAGATGAACATTTTCTGAAAGGAAAAATATGTTCTGACATGGACACGACTCTGTGGCACTACGGGACTGGAGCCAATCCCAGCATGCAGTTGGTGAAAATGTAATGTACAAAAACATTCCACGTATGCTAATAAAGCATCATCAGTGGCTGGGCTTTAAAGATCTATTTCTAATAAATAACAGCAGAAAAAAAAAGCTTAATTTGAATTTAACCACCTCAATTTGCAGGCAATAATTTTAATTTTAACACAACAATAACAAAAACACACATATAAATAAACTAAACAAGGCCCAGGTGTGCAGACTGGAGCCACGAGGAGAGCGATGGACGGAGAAGGACAATAAGATCATGAGATGTGAGAGGATGGTAACAAGCCAGGGAGGGCGTTTGATCATGCAACCAAACTTTTCTTTTTTTATTAATGTGCTTTCATGGCTTTCATGGTGTCTCTACTGTTTCATCACCTAGACTTTTTAAGGGGTATTCAGCATCGCACTGTCAGGAAAGCTGGAGACTTGCAAGAAGGAATTTGTTGTTTTTTAAAAAAAAGAAAAGAACTGGAACTGCAGAAGCTACACATCCTGATTAAAGATCACCAAAAACACTGGATCCTACGATTCCCACAACACAGATCAGCTGCACATTTCATCAGACCATTAAAAAAGCTTTTTGCAATTCACTTTCAGTTTATAAAGCAGGCTGAAGATTTTACTCCTCAGTCTCATGCCAAGATTACTTTGAACATGTCATCGTGTTTTTTAAACTTTTGAGTGCTTTAAGAAAAATGGAAATTGAGTTCTAGGAAGTGGAGGTCATTCAAAAGTGAAGGAAAAGACTGAGATGTAGACGGCATTAGGAGAGAATCTGTACACTTCAAAACAGATAAACAGACCAACACCTGCTGCACCAAACCAACTGCTGCCAACGCAAGGTGAGCAAAAGCTCTGCGTGAAGTCGGGCCGGGCTGGACCAGCAGCAACGAGACCATCGAGCAGCTTCAACCATTTCTGAGGCGAGTCAGTCTGAAATGAATGAGGTCGGTCTGTAGCCGAGGGGGGTGTTCAGGAAGCTATCAAACAAATGCAAATCATCAAGCATCTCCGTGATATCAACGCCAGAAAGAATTCTGCTTGACGTCAATTGGAAAAGGCGTGTGAGTCATACTTGTGTCTTTACAAGCCACATCTCTCCACTGCTTCCCAGCACTGCGGGGAAAACACCAGAGAACACGAAAAAACAGCAGCGCTCAAAGCTTCATCTACCACATGACTGACATCCGGGGCTCAGTGATTCCTCACTGCCACACAGAGCTGCACGATTACGGCCAAAATGATCAATAACAGCACGACGATTATTTAATACGATCATTCACTGATTTAAATGTTCATTAAACCTACACTTTGGAATAAACAGAACTCTTGCTGATGTGCACCTCTTTGCGTCTCAGCGCTCTATGCGTTTAACATCACGTGTCCCTAATCCATAATCATCCAGAACACCTCTGTTTCCAGGGACGAGCGCTTTAACTCCTGACATTTGATTTTCGTGCTGCCCGTCTGCTCGCTGATGGATACCAGCCTTCTGCTCTGGACTGCAGCTGCAGCGTTCAGGAAACGTGTGCGCAGGCTGACACTGCAGGTGCACGGCAGCATCACACCTCCTCCAAAGCAAGGCCAACACATCTCCATCGCTTCCAGTGGCTGGCTGTTAGCTTAGGAAGAGTTCGATTCGATATGCAACTCTATGAGCGAAGCACATATTTCAAACATCAATATCGCAGTCAGTCGTGTTCGTTGAATTGCGACAAGTAAAGATCATAATCAGGATTAATATCCAGTGAATTGTGCAGCTCTAGTTTGAGGAATGGTGATGCACACGTTCTGCTCTAAACACAATCAGTCCTGCCTCAGCTTCAGCTCTTCATCAGTTTGTAGAAATGCAAGAAGCCCAGACATGCATGTGGTGCAGAAAGTCAGAGCTTCAAGACTGCACTCACCTGAATTGTACCAAAGTCCACGTTTTCGTAGTGGAAGTGAGCGCACTCTGCCAGTTTGGGGAAGTGGCCCTTGGTGAAGCAAAGTCTGGAAATGCAACACACACACACAGGGTTTAGTTGGCACTTCATCCTCTGCTCATGGTAACACCTTGGAGTGTGTATGACTAGCATCAGAGGCAGAGGGCATCGCTAACGGAGGGAGTGAAAGGAGGAGGAAGGCACAGAAATAGACTCAGGGAATGGAAGGAACTCAAGCAGCAAACAGAGGCGATAAACAGCCAGTTAAGAGCAATAAATAGAGACGAACAGAGAGAAGGAGAGATGTGAGAGAGGACTGTGTGAGAGTGAGTGAGTTTGCCTACTCACTTCTTGACATTCTTGACCTTCATGCTGGCGGTGCTGCTGCTGCAGGAGCGCATGAGGGGCTCCGTCCTCAGCTCGGGGATCTCGGCGCTCCTCGCCTTAAAAACACCACAACAACACACAGACATGAGCCATCCAGCTGCTGCATACAAATACATCTCTGTGGCTTCGCAGAGGCATTCACATACCAACAGGCTTTCAAGTATGTTGAGCTGCTTGATATAAACAACACGCGTGTCTTCAGCTACGATGAAGTGTGTCTGCTGCTGGTCTCTGAGATGCAGGACGATCTGTGCTGCAGTTGGTGTAAGTCAACACCGTCCTAATTCTCACCGGTGATTTAATCATGCACGGCAGTTAGCCAAGTTAAAAAGACACACCTGCATGTCATTCAGTGATTGGGGCTGAGCAGTGTCAGGTCGCTTCGGTCAAGTGGGAACCTGCAGAAACTGTGAGGCTTCATCATCACGTCTGACTTGTGAAAGAAACTCGACATCCAGGGGTGCAAGTCGACCAGCAGCAGAGGTCAACGTCCTGATACACAAACCTGATGACAGCCTGTGGTTTTACTGTATTATACAAATCCAGAGAACTGCTTCAGACTCTGATCTGAACATAGCAGGTCTTGTTTTTAACTTCACTGAACAGCAGCAGGATCCTGGGAAGTGCACCGTTCACTCAAGGCTAACACAACGGCAGCAGTAACGTCAACAGATGTTTACTTCTCCTGATTTATCTTCTCCTTATTACCCACAATGCTTTGATATCATCAAACAGACGAGTGGCTCTGCACACAGTCACATGTTTTACAGCTGAAATAATTGTGAGCAGCTGAGAACAGCATGAATCCAAGAAAAATGAATTGTTTCTCTATTTTAAGTAAATATCCAAACGGTGGATCATTCCAGAGGGTTTTTTGGGAGTTTTGCAGTTTGGATATTTTAATGCACAGCCATTAAAGCAAGCATGAATCTCTCTGGTCATTTAAAAAGAGAAGCACCAGAACATCAGCCTGACAGTGAAGAGCAGGTCCTCAGCCTCCAGCTTACTGCAGATGCTGCAACGTAAGCTGCACATCTGTATGTTTGGGATGTTGGATTACATCTGCTGTCCTTTGGATCTTCACAGCGCTCCATGCTGGTGAACTTTCTACTCTTCATGTAAAATGCTATGTACTGTATGTGGCTATTGAGATAATTAGATTAATTTGAGCCACCTGGCTTTGACAATGGAGGTGGAGTTAGTTTGTCAGCTTAAAAATGACATTTAGAGGTTATTATTCACTTGACTGGACCTACTTTCTCACCCCCTGCTCACCAAACCTGATTTAACCCCTCAGTGCCTTCTGCTGTTGATTGCTTAAAGCTGTTTGGAGGAGCTGAGCCACCACCTGCTGAAGGAAGTCGCTGGTAGATGAAGCTCTTCAGCTGGACACCAGCTGGCATCATGAGCACCAGTCTCCTGGTTCCTCCAGCTCCTCCTACATCGCTTCACATCTGCACTTCTCTGTTGGAGGCTTGACTTGGTCCCACAGACAGAGGGACCACGACAACAGATCGACTCCTTGAGCTGGATTTATACTCAGTGCAGCTGCAGATGCTCACAGATCAGGTTCTGATTTACAGTCCAGCTCTGCAGCACTGGACACAAGTACTGAATGTGACAATCCCTCTTTAATGATCCTCCTCACAGCCGCTGTTTACTTTGTCTTTATTCTGAACAACAGGTAGTTTGCATGGTCATGATTAGAGTCTCCTCACAAATCTATTTAATTTTAACTGATCAGATTTTATATAGTGCTTCTCTAAGTCAAAGTCGCTTCACACTGTCCGTTATTCATTCACACACATTCATCCTGGTGGTGGTAGCTACAGCTGTGGGGCAGACTGACGGAGGCCTGGCTGCCGTTCTGCCCTCCGACCGCCGCCTCAACAATCCCTTCATACACATCCACACCAGGTGGATGTGGAGAAGGACAAGGACACAGCGACCATGACGCCGGTTACAGGGCGGAATCGAACCGCCGACCGGGTATTTGTATCGTACAGCTCAACAGATCGTTGCAAGTTTTAAAACCCAAAACATGCTGCACACAAGTACTCCATGAGGAAAGGCAGCACCTGGCTCAACCAGGACCTACACCTGACCCACCTCAGCATGTGCTCTCCACAGAGTATTTCATGACCACGGTGGTCAAGAAGAACAGGATAGCTGACAAAGCTGAGCTGGAGCTCTGTGGAACTGGTCAACACTATCAAGCTAAAGGAAAAGGGTTGTCTTTCTCTGACTGCTTCATGCTGTAGCGCCCTCTAGCTGCAACGCTCAGGCTGTCGCTCACACTTCACAACACATTCACGTCCTTGTGCTGATGTGGAGAACATCTCAGGCCCAGCACAGAAATACGAATAAAGCAACATCTGGAAGGTAGTGAAGCACCGAACAAACACTTTTCTCACCAGGAACCTTTACTCACATCCTGCAGCGGCGCCCAGGAATACGTTTCAGACAGAAGAGCACCTGGCTAACAGGCCAACAGCCTTCAGCTCTGCATGTGCTGCACAGAGAGCTGCCAGAAACATCAGTCAGTTCAGGTTAGCTCGGATTATTTCTGCATTTAATGCTGCTGATTCACAAATGGTCTTTCACTGTGCCGTTCGTCAGCTGGCTTCGACTTTACACGTTCTACCCGTACATCATCATTTAACTCTCGCTGGAGATTCCTGAGATTTATGAATTATAGAACAACTGCTTTCCGCTAAAGGAACTTTCCAGAACTTATCAAAAGCTCAATTAGCAGCACAATCAGCTGGAAATGTTCCCTCCATTCTCTCAGAAAGCCACACACTCGCTTCATTTAGCTTAAATTAGACTGAAAACCAAACGCAGATGTGGCCACCAGAAAAGCAACAGGTTTGATTTGCAGACAAGAAGCCGATTTAATCATGTCAGTGATGTGGTGGCTTGTTGTTGTTGGAAGCCATTTGAAGACCGAATAACTGAAATAAAGGTAAAGATGAACAATTAAGGCAGAGACCACGTTTATGGGGGGATAAGAAAACAGGGATCTGTAGGAAAACTGCACCAGAGAGCTGCAGACAAAGTGTAATTTAAATAAGACAAAAACTAGGCGGCCAAGAACTGTAAAAGTTTAATGTGTTCAGCTCGTAACCTCACACCCGGCCAGGCACTGACAGGAAAGGTGCTATGCAGATGAAGATGGTGGAGTGTTCCTGCAGCCCGTCTGTCTGAGGCTGACACTCCTGTCTGGATGCAGCACTCATTTAACTGTTCAGTATCCAGCAGGCCAGTAAGGATCAGCAGAGTGATCAATGTGTTGATCCACAGCTAAAACTAATGAACGATCACAGACTATTCTGACAGCTGATTCATTGATCTTTCAGGCAAGAACACCAAACATATTCTGGTTCCAGCTTCTGACTAAAAAAGATCTGCTGCCTTATTCTGGTTTATGTTGTGAACATCTGGATGTTGAGCCCATATGATTTTATAAAGTCCTCCTACTGCATGTCAACATGAACTCCAGGTCCAGCATCACATCCCACTGACAGAAAATTAGAAGATATAGATTTGAATAGACTTGCTTTTAATTTCAATGATTCACTTGTTGTGGTCAAAGATGGACAGTCATGACTCCATAATCGACTCTTAACAATCCTAAACCTGCTATCCGACACGTTTTAGGAAAAACCAACAGAACCCATAAAAACAGCCTGAACATACCGAGTTCCTTCACGTTTCCACTTCAATGCGACTTGTATGTGATCTGCTGTGTGAACTTCATACGAGCCAAAAGTGTCCCGCATGCGCAGAAGAGGACACGACGACGTCACACGCAGCGAGCGTGCTCAGTGTTTATGGAAGTAAACATGGATGGTAACGGTGGAGCGTATCTGCCACTCCCCCGCCGCCACCGATGGAGGAAACAGAAGTGTGAGCGCTAACTAAACTAGCATCAGCAGCCAAGTACTGCCTGTGTGTTCTGGACACTTCCACCCCGTCAGAGCACTGCCCCGGGGTGGAAGTGGCCAGAACGTGCACCAGCACATCGGTCAGTTAGACTGAAGTCCAGCGTTTCGTCGTGTTCTAACAACACACTAGTTATTATAACAACTATGAACAATAATGAACAACTAATGAGCCTTCCAGCATCAAGCCCTCCTCGTATCTGGACCTCCGTCTGGACAATCCCACAGCCTTGATATCCGACATAGAAGAAGGTTTTACATTTAGTGTCGGATCATCGGGTCATGTCTGTATTTAGGTCACCGTCTAGGCGGCGGTTATCTGAGACTGTGGGGGTTCCAGGTGAAGTGGCTGCTGGGGGCCCTTTGTTTGGGGTGGGGGTTGAACATTAGCCTGGTTTGCCACATCTGCAGCAGGCTACTGTATGTGAACACGTTATGTCAATAAAATCAAACTTATGTTTTAGCTGTAGTTGCCCACCATCATGTTTCTGATATTCTCTCTGTCACCATGATAGAACAATATCTCTACCGCCAGCAGTTTATAGTGAGAAACATGTAAAAGCAGATTTTTCAGATGAATTATGTTTCCCTCGATATAAACAATCTGCCAGTAGTGTTATACCAACTGATGTGGATGTGGACAGCATCTCCTGTTCATCATGCTGCAGGCCTTCATGGCAGGTCTGTGCTGGTGTGTGTTGCTCTGCAGTCCATAAATGCAGCCGACACAGAGCAACAGGGCGTTGGTGTGACAGCTTACACTAAGTTGCTTAGCGCTTCTCATCACCTCCTCAAACCACAGGAGACATACATAATAGATGCCACTCCAGTGCACAGTCCCTCTCCTATCAAATATTGAACAAAGAATAGCAGACATGCAGTATTAAAAGCCCCGCCTCTGTGATCAATATTCATCAGCCTGGTGAGATTGTTGTTTCTCTTGCTCTCTGTTGCCCGATCGAAGCGAGCACTTGCGATAGGGCTCCAACCACACGCCGACCACGGGTGGCTCGGCACGTTACCATGGAGACGGCCTCATTTTCACCGTGCTGTTGATGCAAGAAGCAAGACCCGAACCAAAAAAGGGAGGAAAGGAAATAATGAATGATGTTGTCTGGTGAATGAGCTCCGGAGTGGAGAGACGAGCTGAAATAAATAGACGACAGACACAGGCAGCGGGGAGATGACTGATCTCTGCTAACGGTTTGGAGCAGGGTAGCCTTAGGACACCAACAGGCGGCTGCATTAATCATGAATGTGCGATTGTGTTTCGGGAGTTTTTGATAGGAGAGAAAGACACAACTCATCAGCCCACTGACTTGACAGCTGATACTGATAAGAATGAGACAGGTAGGCTGATCAGGTGGTACCGCTGGGTCCGATACGTCAGGAATGGCAGCCAGCACGAGCTCCTACAGTCCTGAGACGATGGCAGAACGAACACAGATGAGTGCATTCACAGTAATGAACTTCACTGAGGAATGCTGGGAAACCAACAGCCAGCAGCTCGACCTGTTGGTGTGATCGTCCTTCATGAGATTCACCTCAAGGTTTTACAGATTGCATTGGACAGAAACAGACTCAACATGCTGGTCCAGATGATGCATGTGAGAGGAGGATGCATTCTTCTGCAGATCACACCGCTTTGTCAAATTCTTTCCCACAGATATCTGGGGTTCGGTTCTCTTTCTGTGCAGTTTTGTCTAAAGCCGCTCATGTTGTTGTGAATCACAGTCTCTTGATCGGCATTAGCGACCAAACAAAGTATCCTCCCTTTCTGCTGTCCACGTGTTGTGTTTTTCTCACTGTGTGACTCAGTAAACACTTGTTGAGGATCTGGACCGTGCAATGAAACAGCCGTGCTAGTTTCTATTTTCCATTTATTTTAATTGTCACCTTCCTGTGTGTAAACGTTGCACCAAAACAGTTCCCCCGTCACTACTCAGTATGAACACTGTCACTGCTCTCTACAGAAGATGAGTGTGATTGGTTTAAAGGAATCCTAACACACCAGAGCTCTGCATCCCCGATAGCAAAACGAGAGCGAGATGCAGTCTGATCCAGTGCTGAGTGAGACGGTACTGAAAGAGACACACAGATGTTGTGGGTTTTGCTTCTTACTGGTTGAAAGCATATTCTCCTTCTTTGGTCCAATTCTGCCTTGTTGTCGCTTCAGAACTTGAAGGTTTTTTTTGCATTTATAAAAAAAAAGATCTAACACAGTTTAGGAGAGTCCCTTAATTGCTTTTGCAAAGGACGACACTGCTGGTTGGAGTTCTGGCTGACAAGCAAGCCTGACTGAAATGCTTCGTTATCCTGTTCTAATACAGAACCCTGTAGCCCATGACCTGTGTGCTGGGAGTCAGCAGGCTGCAGGGCGATTGTTCAGCAGGTGTCTTCAAGAATGCATGTTATGAGTCAGTGGCAAAAAAAGACAATTATGTGCATCTCTGCTATACTACTAAATAGCATTTCCAATGTACAGTCGTGACTCGATGATCAGACACTAAAATAAACCTTCTTCTATGTCGGATAGCAAGGCTGTGGGATTGTCCAGACGGAGGTCCAGATACGAGGAGGGCTTGCTGATGCTAGTTTAGTTAGCGCTCACACTTCTGTTTCCTCCATCGGTGGCGGCGGGGGAGTGGCAGATACGCTCCACCGTTACCATCCATGTTTACTTCCATAAACACTGAGCACGCTCGCTGCGTGTGACGTCGTCGTGTCCTCTTCTGCGCATGCGGGACACTTTTGGGTCGTATGAAGTTCACACAGCAGATCACATACAAGTCGCATTGAACTGGAAACGTGAAGGAAGTCACAAAGAAATCCTTATTGAGCATCAAGTCCTGCAGTTCCTAAAACCTGTCAGATAGCAGGTTTAGGATTGTTAAGGGTCAATTATCGAGTCATGACTGTAAACAGGAAACAAATCCACGTCTTACCATTGCACTGATGGTCTCCTCCCAGTCAGGTCTCTCTCTGGGATGGATGTGAGCCAGTTCAGGCACGATGTCGTCGTCCTCCAGGTGACGTCCAGGCCTCAGGCCCCTACAGACAACACACACACACACACAAACTTAATTCGTCACTCGATCACTGTGTTGCAATTACTGACTACTTTCTTTTCTAATTAATCCATTATTTGTTCAATTATTTATTCATCGACTTGTTGACTGTCTTCATTTCAGGTCTTCTTTAGTAATATTAAATTAGTTTGTGGTAGTCAGACACCAACACACACACATGTAGGTTTGTTGGGTTTACTGAGGCCTCTAGGCCAAGACCCAGGTAACAAACCAAAGCCTCAGATGAGTCATTCACAACTGGAGGGGCCGCCAGAGGGTTAAAAAACAATATGAGTGTATAGAAACTAAAATAACATGAGTCCTTTTTAAAGTTTTCATGCTTTATATTCTGAATTCTCTTTTGTTTTTCAAGACACACTGTGAAAGGACACGTTATGCTGCCTGTTAAAGACCAACAGAAAATGCTCTGATAACCTCACAGCAGCTCCTTAAAGGCAGTTCTCTGTCCTGTGTAACTGGACATGGACTCCGTTCTGCTGCTCACACACAACCAGCACTGTCTATAGCTTCTTTGCCATGTTTTAAACTAACAACGAACCATTTAATCGAGAAAATAATCGGTAGGTTAAACATTGATTAAAACAAATAAATAAACCTTTAGTTGCAGCTCCATTCATTCTGTGGGGACGAAGCGAAGCGAGTCAGGAAACAGAACAGGAAGCAAACGCTGGATAATGTGATGAAAGTACATCTGAGTTAACGGCGCCTTTGTAGAACAACGAGGAGTCGATGAGACATCCGTCTGTCTTAACGGGCGTCTCATCGACTTTAAAGGCCGCCGTTGTTTCAGAAAGACGGAGCAGCAAAGGAATGAGACAGATGTGTACGGACCTCCGGCTCGCACACACACACACACACGCACACACACACGCACACACACACACCTGTACACACACACACACACACACACACACATGCACCTGTACACTCTCTCACACACACACACACACACACAATGTTCAGTGCGCTGTCTAACCATCTCCCAGAATGCAGCAGTGATGCTACATATACATGAGTGTACAAACTAGAGCAGACAACAGAGGAAGCTGACAGAGGAACAGAGTTGTGTTTTGGGGAGAATGGAAGCGTCTGCAGCAGCGAGGAGACGACAGCATCGAGCAAACGCTGAAGCAACGTCTCTGCATTGATCTAATTGGACTTCAGGGCCAGGGACTCCCACACACACCCAAGTAAAGTTTAGTAATGAGTAATTCCCTGCAGTCCCGTCTCCCTCCAGCCCTGCTACACGACGACTCACCAAACCTACGGACTTCACCATTCATTAAACCGTGACCCTGCTCCTCTGCTTTGTAATTCCAGCATACCAAGAGAATTCAAAACACAAAAATAACAAAAACAGGCTCACCAGTACAAAAAAATAACTTCATGTTCAATCATGTAGAGTTAGCCTTTACCATCTAAAAATCACCTCAGGAGTGCAAAAACATACCTACACAACACCAACATTCATCTATACTGGATTTGTAACGTATTGGTGGTAGGTACTGACTATTTTTAACAAACTTTTCATCAATTTATGTAAAAAATGTCCACCTTTTCTTCAAACAATAAACACATCAACACACTCATCACCCTTCAAAAAGTAATGTCCCCCCAAAAAAACAGATTGAAATAAAAATAAAAGTAATCGGATTCTCTGGAAGTACTTTACTGGATTACTTTCAGCTGCAGCGAATCCTCAGCAAGGTACACATAAACACAGACCCAGCCCGACTCCCGGTGGACCTTGTTAAAGCCAGTGAGGCTGGAGAAGATCAGTGAGATGCTTTAGAAACAGGACGGACACTTCACAGCTTTGGAACCCTAAAGGTCATTAGCATTACCTTGATTAGAAGTGACTGATCAAGAGGTCGGGGAGAAATAAGCGCATCGACGTGAAGGTACCGGGAGGTAAACATGCAGCCATGTTCTGAAGGACTGAGCAGATCTGACTTTGAAATCTGACATTGGCTCTTCAGATGATGCTCCGCTCAGGGAAGGAGCTGCAGTCAGCTCAGAGTGCTGCTCATGGACTCAAACCACCACAGAAGACTCAGTGATGAAACTGACTTACATCAGCGCAACACCTTCAAAGAGGCAGTAGATACTGGAGGTCTACTGGATCTGACTTTGGTTTCTCTTGTTAACTCATGATGGACTACTGAAGGGTTAGAGACACACCGATCAGCCACAACATTAAAACCACTGATATGGAATAACACGGAGCATCCTTGGATTCTGGCGTTTATGTGTATTCCTGCCCCGTCACACCCCATCCTGCCTTTGTAACAGCTTTAAAAACAACCTGAGGTTAATTGGTGATTGTAAATTGTCCGTAGGTGTGAATGTGAGTGTGCTTGGTTGTCTGTCTCTAAGTGTAGCCCTGTGATAGACTGGTTACCTGTCCAGGTGAACCTGCCTTCACCCTGAGTCAGCTGGGATAGGCTCCGCCCCCCTAGTGAGGGTTAAGGTGTAGAGATGACGGACGGACTAACTCAAATCAGATTTTGCATTAAGACTTTACTCCCCACTTTCCTTTCCGTACCTCAAAGCCAGCTGTGGGACGTGTTCTCCGTTTGGAACCACTTCACTTGCTTTGAAGGCTGAAGACAAAACCTTCACTGTGACAGTTTGCTGGCTAAGAAAGACAACCGCTGCCTGGGAGTAGAAACTAGGATAGGATCTGAAAGATAACTGGTGGGACATTAGTTCTGACAGAACTCACATAAGCTTGAGCAGCGGGGAAGGTACTGTTTAGGATGATTTATTTATTTTTTCCAAATTGTTGCATTGTACGGTTGTCAAGGATTTATCATCCTGCCACCATCAGCTCAGATGAATGCCATGCTTCCCAATGTGTCTCAGCATACTCTGTCCATTGGTACAATGCTTTTGGCAAAACTACTTCCACACTGTGTCGATCAATATAAACGTCTCTATTCACTTGGGTTTCCAGAAAATTACAACCGATACAAAGCAATTAGAAATCCTAGCTTTCACTTCCTTTCTGGTGAGACGCCCATTTCTTCTACAAGGAAGTCTACTGAAGCTCCCTCTAGGACTCAGAGATGTCATGTTCTCCTGTAAAGCTAGAGAGATTACATTTTTAGTAGGAGAAGTTCGACACCAAGTGCTAATCCCCCTTAACCTTCTCCAACAGTTTTCTTCAATCACCTGTCTTTAATCCCTGAACCCCAGAGCAACAGGTTTCCATCCACCATATTTTATTTTTCTGCACGTAGAAGACAAGAAACCCTGAAAACTCTGTGGAAAAGTGGAAATTCGACAAGGTACAATGAGAAACAGTGACTTTGATCAGATACTGGCTAAAGAGCAGTGGATGGAAACACACAGTAACAAGCAGTTTCTCTGGATAGTTTTCTCCTAAACTAGTGAAAGATCTTCGCTGCATTTGGATGCAAACTGGCCATAAGCTGATAGCTATTCTAAGAATGTGTCAGAAAGCAGAGATTTACAGGAGCAGCGAGGAATCTTCATCGTGTTAAATCTGGTAGGAAAAAATGTGCCTGCAAAAGGCCCTTTATGTGAACTGAGGCAGGAGTTTTAAAGTTGTTTGTCCTTGTCGTGTAAGAAAGTCATCTCCTCTGTCATGTGGTACATGGTAAGAAAAAAAACTCAAGCGAAGGCCTCCAGAGTTTCTGGGCCAGTGAGTGACGTCCCACAGCCACACTGACCCTAATGACATGCTTTAAGCACCACTTACCAGGGAAGGCTTGAGAACTACTGACACAGTGTGAAACACTTTCAGACGCCAGCAATAAAGGCCGAGCTTCAACAGCGCCTTTCACTCGCACAGTATCGCCTTCTCTCTTCAGATGTGCAGTGCACTCCTGGAATTCCCAGCATTCCTCTGTGAGCAGGCATATAGGGAGAAAGAAGCGACTCCTTCAAGCACCTGCTGCAAATACTCTCATAACACCCCAGCTAGAAAACCCCGCTCGTCTGGAGCTGCACTCTCAGCTGCTTTTTGCCTTCCTTCTCCGCTTCTAGAAAACCAGATAAAAGAAGAAATTGACTGCAGACTTCCCTCCTAAACTTCCATCCTGCTGAGTCAAACGTTTCTCTCACCAGCCTTGTAGGAAACACCAGAGAGAGCGCCACGCTTGGAAACGGAGGGAAAGCTTCAATCTTGACTACTTCTCAGGCATTTGCATCCGTCTCACAAGTTTGGCCCATAAAAGCAACAGCAGCTCAATTTCTTTTTGCTCAGAAATGAAAGCCATGAATCTCTCCGCATTTATCCTCAGCCACCGCTTCCTGGTGTCTCTGCTATGAGGCTGCCTCGCCGCTGGAGCCGCTGGATGTCTGACTCAACATGTGCTCAGAGATCATGTGAGCTTCATGAACCAACACTTCAACACTGCTGAGTGCAGGCCGGTCGTTAGCGTACAGGTCTGAGGGTAAAGCAGACGTTAGCACAGAAACAAAAGTACTCTCAGAAAAAAGCACAGAAACAGCTGCTTTCCAACAAAGGAAGATGTTAATACAGAACTTAAAAAAATGTAGACACAAGCCCAGCGCACAACTGACTGCAGAGTCCTGCTCTAAAGAAGTCACCACAACAAAAGCACAAACTACACAGAACATTTAAATGCATCCTGCTCTGTATGTGCTGCTGATCTTCAAGCAGGTCCGTTAGTTTACAGAACAAACCATTGGTGACTGGTGGAAGGTTTTACTCGTGCAGCAGCCAGGTGGTGCACACGCAGACCTACGGTGTGTATATATAATGAGGTGGGCTGATAGCTCGTCACTACTGAAGGGCTGCAGGTGGGATTTATTCTCTGTATGGACTGTTTTCCTAATTAACTGATTGGTCGTCACAGTTTTCCCAGGGTCATGAGCAACATCTCTAAACTCCTTTTTCTGACCAACTGTCTACAAGCCAAACGTTCGGTTTCCGGTCATGTTATAACGCAGAAAGGCTCATGACGGAGGACG